CTTCCATGTAATTAAATCTTATTGTAAACTATTCAAGATTCAAGAGAACGCATGTTGAAATCTAAATCTTGTTTAAAACCTTTTCCAAGTAATTGCTGCTAAATGTTTTAAATGCAGCATTACTTTCTAAATGTCTTAATATTAACACAATCAAAATCTGCAATACCTTTAGTGATATTGACTTTTGAGGAAATGGCTTCAGGATCAAGAGGCATTAAGTGACATCCTTCATAGTCTGGCCTCACTAGGAAGCTGAACAAATACTACTGGACCATTTGAATGCCTTCAATACAATTAACAATGGAAAAAGGAACCAAAAATCAACTGGCCTTTCTTTCTAACTTGCATAAAGAATGTATATCATAAACCAATGTTCACTGGACAATACCTTAACTTCAGTTACCACTCTCTATACATTTCCATTAGTTTATATATAATCAGGAAAACCTTGTTCTGTGTACTTACAACATCGTTCTACCAAGAGTCTGATATATACCAACAGGTGGAAGACTTGGCTGTGTGTTCACTGTTGTTACCAGTAATGTTGGACACATATATAGAATACTTTGATGAAATGGCTTTAAGAATGGCACTACAAGCCAACCTTCGCCAAACAATTACGTCACTTGCCACTATCCATACAGTATAAAGAAAGGGAACATGTGATATCTACAGCACCATGTAAAAATCATCAATGGCTACTTGGACACATACCAGCAGGAAATGATCAGCATCAAATGTATCCTTTGGAATAATAATGATCCTGTAAACATTAATTTTTGCAGAAAGAAACTGAAGAGTTAAGGAAGATTATCAGAAAACTACCATGGTCTGTCTTTTTTACATCAAGGGTTTATTGGAAAAAATTCAAGAAACCTGTGGTTCAACAGCTTCAGGACAAGATTCAGATGCAGCTCAACCCAACAGAGAAATCTCTGCCGAGTCAAGCCTTACACAGAGGGGAACATGGTCAAGAAGTTCATGTATTCCATCACTTGCAGTTGATACAAAGAATACAAACTAGCTACCAAAGTAAGGCAGGTGGAATATTGAAAAACTAATTAGGGACAAGACAATGAAATTAGGCATACATGGAGGTAAAAGGGTAGTCATCAAGCCTTGTGGGATGAAGTAAAAATGAATAGATAACAACATTGGCAAATGAGATGTCTGAAAAAAATCTTTGCTAGGTTATGAGGACCTCCTTATTAAAGGCCTTGCATAGAAGTATAAATATAATACAGGCGTCATTAATCAAGAAAGAAAGACAGCAAAACTAACAGTAACAATGTCAGTGCAGTCAAGTATAATAAATAGCAGGCAGGATAGATTTAAGGCTCCAAGTTCTCCACTAATGGATTAAAGCATTGGTTTATGACTTCAATCCCTGGGCTAAGGCCGTATGTGTGTGGAAATATGGTGAGTAATAACTGAACAGTACGAGATAAGATTTGATTTGTTTAACAGCATATCAAGTCATTTAATGTCATAATTTAATTTTCTTGGGAACTTCAGCATAATAAAAATGTCATTCTGCTTTCACAGTTGAATACATGGTAGATGATACTCAGCTTTTGTACATGTACATATTTGTGTGGGCCTAATTACTAGAGGTGGTGATGTGTGTTTTAGGTTGTAGTTTTGTTATATTTTGGGATACAGTTATATTTAACAAATTGTAGGATATTATATGGATTAATATCATGAAAGAGTTCTTTCAAGTTGATTGTTTGGTCGATGTTGTTGAACAGATATCAACCCCTATGGCTCACTCACTGCTAAATTCTAAATATTTTGAGCGTAATTGTGTGCCTTCAACTACAGATAAAATATATTGCTGGTTATTTTATATATATGTATGTGACGTCGTCCCCTGGTCGCAGCGCCAACTGTGACGTTCTATTCTGGTCTACCACGGCACCAACTGTGATGTCCTTAAACAGCACCAATTGTGACGTCCCTATTTGGCGCCAGCTGTTTGCTCCTCGCTAATCCGTTTTGGGTGTCGCTGCTCCAAACGTGGCGTCTGCCTGTCGCGTCAGTCGTGTTGTCTCATCCTGTGACGACCAACTGGCTTAGTATCGGGTCGCAGCACCCAAATGTGACGTTCTAACCTTTTGGTGATTGATTTGGAATCTGGTTAGATTTGATATCAGCCTCGTTGTTCCCAACTTCGCTTCCAACGCCTGGTTACCAAAGGTAACTGCATTGATCCCCAGTCTGCCTACCCACGTTGTGAATTGATCTTAGACAGATGAGATCAAACAGTGGCTGGGGCCGTAATGCAAACCGAGTTCAACGGGGGTGATACCACACAAATATGCATAAAAGAAAAGAAAATGAAAACTCAAAAAGTTCAAAGTATCAAAGAAAAAAGTAACAAACTTTATGTCTAGTTGTTCGATACATAGGACTGCATCTATCTCCCGACCCGTTCTATGGATTGTGACACGTTGTTTGCTCTCTAAGAAATTGGTTTTTTGGTGTGTCTTCAGACGAAAGTCGAAAAAAACTTATTTCGGTGGTCTGGATCTAAGTCGCTCTTCAAAATAATTGTTCTTGGGTTGAAGAGGAGTCCGGAATTTGCGTGAATCTTGGTCAGCTATCTGCCAGGCGGCTTCAACTGGAGACTGACTCTTCGCTGCAACTCCAACTCAAACTGAAATTGGAACTGGAACTGATTTCTGCTCGTTGTGGCTTCGCTTATATGGATGCCGACCAAAACCGGGGTGGGTCTGTTGGTGTCGGGGTTTCCTCGATAATTCTAAATACATATCCACCTCTCTGGTTAGGAATTTCCACTTTTTTCCATTTTTGGGAACCTTTCCTCCTCCCACCTTCTCACCATACTTCAGAGGGCGTGAACTGCCCCTCCCCACTTCTTCATAGCAGCTTCTCATACCTACACTCTGGATGGGGGCGACAGCCTCCTTCGTGTGTTACGTGATCACCACTTGACCAATGATGTCTTAGTCGGGCGTGGACGAATCCGCGGCTTTTCTTTCAGGAAAAAAAAATATATATCTTTAACTAAAAAAATTATCCCTTCTTTTCTTTTTTATTCCTCTTAATATATTTTATCATTTCTCTAGCACAAACGGGACAATATGAACAATGGCGGTCATAACTCTTGTTCTACACATGGTTTTCGTCAGGTATTTTATCGCTAATTATCCGTATGGGTGGTCTTCTTAACACGCCAGCGTAATGCGAAAAAGACATTTCTAAATTCCATTCATTTCCTTCGTACATATTTCTGATAACATGATTTTTATTATCGCAGGCCAAGGATGTTCCGGCGAAGAAAATCGGTCAGCGGACACTCGTGGGTGGCTTTTAATTTTTCATATCTGTCCAAAGTCCTTTTAGTTGCCTGTTTTTCATCACTTATCGAAATAACATTTTCATTTGAATTTTTCTTTGGCCAGTCGGTCTGTAGTTGATAATAAGATGCCTTCCCGCACCAATAGTTTGTTTTCATATCCTTAGATAACACATATATCGCCAAAACATATCTGATTCTTTCTTTCTTTCCTTTCTTTTTTACTCAGAATTTCCCTGTCATTGTAATGACACCCTTTCGCCATTTGTTACTTATCAAAATATCCCTTATCCATTGTCTCTTAGCCGTGTGTGTGTTCTGCTTATCATCCACGATTAGGTCCTTAGCCTCTCCTTTTCTTCTTTTCTTTTTCTGCCTCGTTAAATGATGCCACACACACACACACACACATATATATATACATATATATATATATATATATATATATATATATATATATAAATGTATTTTTATACTTTCATAGTATTTTGTTTTTGTTTGGGAGTTGACTATTTTCCCATAGCTGGGACCCTAACAGATGCTACCACCCCATATCAGGGTGGACAAGGGAACAACAGCAATTAAGAGGTGGTCCTACATTCCTCAAAGCTCCAATCTCCTGATCAGAGTCCTTGCTGCTGGATGTAGTTTATAGTCATACCCAGGAATACTAATTAAGAACTAGACAAGATATCCCAAGAAGAATCTATCCCCATAGATTTAAATCGAAGGTTCAGTTTGAAATTCTCAACAAGCACCTGATGAAAGTCAGAGAATACAATGGTTAAACGTTTTGATTACAACAACAAAGATAACAATAATTCATATAAAAATTCATATTATCTTGCATAATAATTTGGACAAACCTTATGTTGTAGTGGTTATCTTAGCATTGTTGTTGTGAACATCGAACAATGAGCGTCGCAGTCATCAAATATGTCGCGGTTATCAATCTTGTAGTGATAGGGGTACCATTATTTAACTTTGGCTTGGAAAGATGAGATTCAGGACAATGCATGAAAGCAATACAATTTATACTTGACGTAAATAGCACATAGAATAAAATACAAAACTGAACTGAATGATTTCAAAACATAACAATTAGATTTATTAATGTTTGATATACATGCATGTGAACTGAAAAGGTAGGACAGAAGTGTGTCCCTTTGATTAGGTATTAGTTGTACCGGAGTTCATATTAAGAAAGTTTGAAATTGTGAGTTTGCAAAGTTGCTAAAAGTTCAGGAGTGATTATTATCTTTAACGCCTGGCTGGCAATGATTAAGATGGAAGTTCCTGAACGTTACATCTTGGCACTTGGTAGCAAGGAATAAGAAGTGCAAGAGAGATGAATGAAAAACTACTCTAAGAGTTCACACGTGTTCCGTTTATATAATGGTCATGTACCACATGGGTGGCTCAAATGGAGACTGCAAGAAAAACAGATTGGTCAAGTGCAGGCGGTTTGATTGATCAGAACTGACCAATCAGCAAGCAAGATTGGAGGTGATTGACCAATGAATACTTGTTATAATTGTATGAAAGTAAGATGTTACTTAACAGATAGGAAGAGTGCATTTTCTAAAAAGAGGTAAGGCTGGTTTGTTGTGGAAGATCCCACAATGTTAAGTTTCTTTTTTCTGTTCTGTAATTTTTTTATGTGTTTAATTTATTCCAGCCATATCCAAGCAGGACAAGAACATTAAAGGAAAACTAACAGAACTTGACAAAGCTAGGAATTGGTTCCGTGATACATTGGGTCTGCAATTCAAGAAAACCTCAAGTAAGTCTTTTGTTAGAAGTTAGCAGCAGATTTTGATCTTCTTTACTCTCTGACTGTTGCACCATAATCTACAAGTGATACTGGAATCTAGAATATTGATCAGAAGGCTAGTTTGGTTCACCATTTCTGACTGACTTCTCTTCTGTCCTTATCACTTGGGATTTATTTACATATTTATACATTGTAGGTTAATGAGGAATTCAGAAAATATCTTTGTTACACGTTTCATTTCAAGATGGAATTTCTTTAGATTGATTCCATCCTTAAAACTATTATTAGTCTTGTGTATAAACAAAACTTGGGGGATAAATGTTGGGTAGAGTTTATATCAAATTGTTGCATACAATCAGCCTTTAAATCTTAATTTTGATATTTGTTGTATCTAGTACTAGATTGGCAGTTATGTCTCATCATTTTACTGTTTAAATTGCTAGGTAACCATAAGCTCTAGGCTGACAGTTTCTTCACTCACACTTCTGAAAATCTCTTCCAGCTTCTTGCTTTCCAATCAGTTTTGAGCTTTAAGTATTTAAATATGATGTCAATCATCATCTTCCGTCTCCTTAATTCCTGTCCTTTTATTGTCCTCTCTTCTGTTTCCTTAATTCCTGTTCTTTTATTGTCCTTTCTCATTAATGTTCTTTTCTCAGATTCTTCCACAGTCAGTAACCTTTTGCATCTTTCTTGCAATGAAATTATTAATAAAAAAAAAACTCTAGAAGTTTAATTTAAATTTGATATTTTTTCCTGTTTTGTGTTGCTTATTGTATTTGATTATCCCAGATTTTATTAGTAGTCATTTTGTAAAGAAAGATATGGTGGATTGTCCATGATGTAAATTTACCATAGAGGATTCCAAAAGTAGTACACTTTCAATATTTTTTGACTTAATGAATTACTTTCACCTTTTAAGCAAATCTGCTTTAAGTTGAAATTATGATCAGGCATATTACAATGACTAATACAGTTAATTGTATCGTTTCTTAAAATATCCCATTTAGAATCATATAATCTTTTATTTAAATTCACCAATCTCTCACCAATATATTGTGTGAGATTTTTATTTTTTTAATCAATTTTGTAAGTTCTTGCTTCATCGTTTATATTGTTATTTTATGTTGATTAAATCTATTGTTTTTAGTTTTCTAGTAGTTGTAACAAATTTTATATTAAATTTAGATGAATTATCAATTTTTGTCATTGAGTTGGCATGTAGTATTATGTGACTAGTTCTATCAATGTTTCTGGGTTACATTCTTTGTCTTTTGAGGATTTTATAAGCTTTTCTCTTGACAAATAATCAGTACATTGGAAGAGTTTAAATATATTTTCCTTTATCATATAAATGCTGAGGGCTACAAGTTTTAAATGTTCTTAAATAGAAAACTATAATTCCAGATTTTATTTTGTTGTGGTGATGGATGTCGAGATCATTTTTGTTTGTTGAATTTCAGTAGATACTAGCAGTAGAGCCTGGCGTTGCCCGGGGATGTAACAGTAAGAAATAGATCAAGTATCGACCATCATAGAGACTGAAAAATAAAATTGACAAAGATTATTGTTTAAGGTTGACGGACGCACATGTCTTAATTAGTTTTTTTTTGTTTTTTTTATGAATTGGTCAAACCCAAACTCAAACAAAAACATTGTTTTCAATTGTTATGAGTCTACCGATTGAATAGAATTTTATTATAAAAAATTGTCCTGTAAATGGAATTTTTAAAGCATTCTGAATGTAAAAATAAAGAAAAAAGTGTGCAAGACAATAAGAAACAATACTTGCCAAAAAAAGAAAGTTTTGTTGAAGTCGGTTGAAAAATGTAGGAAATCCGATCCCATATATAAACGAATACACACACACACACACACACACACACACACAAACAACCTGGGTTTTATAAGTATAACTCGATACGAGTTGTCCCCCTTTCATTCTTACGACAGCGATGCCTCTTAATCATGTTTTCAAATTGATTTCATGCAAAAACAATTGTGTTTTTCCAATTTTTGGCACTGGCAGAACCACCGCAAGGTAATTTTATGTGGTCCTGTGAAGTTTTATTGAAATTGGTTGAAAAATGTAGAAAATCTGATCTGATATATAAACGAACAGACACATACATACACACAACCTGGGTTTTATAATAAGTATGATTAAGTTTTAGATTTTGTCATTAACTATTAGTCTGACATATAAAGAAATATTTTTAAGTACTACAGGTTCTAATCAACTCTTAAGTGGTTAAGAGCTTCTCACCTCGCAGGGTCTTCTTTCAGATAAGCAATATAGCTTTTACTTCTGTACGTCATGAATTTAAGCGTTCTACAAGGCTGGCATCTCGCTCACACCCTTTCACTGTCGAAACTGTTAAATGTAGCCGTCTCTTCTACTCCAATAACTTCATGTCTTGCACCTCTCATCTGTGGAACTCCCTCCCCTCTTCCTGTTTCCCTGATAGCTATAATCTCCAACTATTCAAATGTAATGTCAATCGACGTCTCCAGATGCCCTGATCTATCCTTTTCTTCATCCTTTCCTCAATCACTCCTCTTTGCTCCAACACTCTGTAATCCCTTGCATGCTAGTGGCTTCCTGCCTTGCTTGGGGTGAAACGCTTATATAAAAAAAAAAAAAAAAAAGGTCAACTGCTGATGTGTTAATGGTTATTGCTGAAAGACTCTATCAAGCTTTAAATAAGAATGCTGAAGCACAGTCAGTTGCTTTGGACACATCTCGAAGGCATTTGGGAGGGTTTGGCATATTGGTCTTCTTTATGAGTTGAAAGGGTATAGTATTTTTGAATGAATTTTGAAACTGCTTCAGTCAGTTCTTATTGAATTGCGAAATGAAAATTGTCTTGAACTGCCAATCTTCTAGGTCTTTCTGCATAAATACAGGCATTTCACAGGTCTCTATCCTCAGACCTACATTATTGCTAATGTCGTCAATAACCATCTTGATGGTATCAGTTCTCAACTCAGTATCCATCCTGATGACACAACCATTTATTTCTGTCTTAATAGTACAGAAACTGTCCTCTTTTAATCGTATGAGATAACCCTTTACCTTCTATCGGCATGACTGATGCTAACCTCCCGAAGAGTGAGTCATTGCATATTCTATGGCTAACTGTTATGGTGAAACACACTTATTCTATAGTTAATAGACTCTCCCACCTAATATAAGTAGTAGTAGTAAGAGAAACAAGGGTCAGTTGATATCAGACGACAGTAGTCGACATTTAGTCAAATACGAAAGTAGTCGGTGACCACAACAAGATCACTCTGCGTAATACCTATTATATTAAGTTCCTAACGTTTTGTACGTCAAACCTATTTTAGGACCGATTTAGTACAAATACAAGCCTCTACTGCGAAATAACTCCACAACAACTTTGGCAACGAGGTATTCGCACTCATACAGAGGAAGAAAAAATTCGCTCACCACAATAACTTCGGCAACAAAGTCTCGGATTCACACTTAAAAAAAAATAATTGGCAAAGTTTTTCGCAAGCCAAGACGTCAACTTAGTGACGAAAAAATCTGTCGTATTCTCAACTGAGAAAAGAAATTTTTCTTTTTTTCCTAATAATACAGTTTGCTCAAATAGGTCACGAATTGCAAATTCGTAGGCCCGCCTCTCTACAGTATTTAGGCATTGTGCAAACTTTTTGCGAAGATGGAAGAATGCAAAAATATATTCCAGGAATTTTTAAAGTGCCAGTCGGAACAACAGATAACAATATTAGAGCAACAAAAAGCATTCCAGATGCAGCTACAGGAGGAAACTTTCAATAGACAAATGCAATTCCAACAAAAAATGGAACTGATGCATAGGGAGTTTCAAAACAAAATTCTGGAAATAACTGAGAAGAAAGAGAAAAATCTACGAAATGATTCTTTCCCAGAGAATACAATATGGAATTCAATTGAAGTATTCACGTACAGTCCAGATGAAGAGAGAACAACTTTTGAGGAGTATTATAAAAAATATACGGACATGTATAATGAGGACTGCCACTCGTGCTCTGAAGGAAAGAAGGTTAGGCTTCTTTTAAGCAAATTAGGAACTGCTGAGCATAACAAAACTACATTTTACCGAAAAAAAATTTTTTGAGTTGACACTTACCGAGGCAGTAAATATATTAAGTGAATTATTTAGTAAAAAGACATCTCTGTTTCACAAGAGGTGGAAATGTTTGAATCCGATGAAAGATGACGAACAAGACTATATAACGTACACAGCCAATGTGAATAAGCATTGTGAAGAATTCAAGCTGGCAGAGTTAAGCGCATACAATTTTAAGTGCTTGGTGTTTGTTCAAGGGCTGATATCGGAAAGAGACGCAGAGTTGAGAAAATTAGTACTGGCAAAATTTGAAAGCGATCCAAGTATTACGGTACAGAAATTGGCAGAAGACTGCACGATATGTTAGCATAAAGAAAGATTAAAAAAAGATAGACCAATCTGGCGTTTCACATGTAAGGAAAATACGCTACAAAGAAAGTGTCTACCAAAAAGAATTCTAAAATTGCGGATTATCAAGCAAAAAGTGAAATACCAGAGAAAAATAAACTAAAACTCCCGAATGTTTTGCTTGCGGTGAACTACACTGGTACAGATATTGCGATTTTAGGAATAACAAAAGGTTTCAACTGTAAAAGAGTGGGTCATAAAAGCATGCATTGCAGGTCAAAAAATAAAGACAATAAAATAAGAAAATTAAAGTCCAACGTGGTAAAAGATGGAATTACCAGAAAATTTGTTACCGTCGAAATAAGTAATAAAAATGCAACTTGACACTGGCTCAGATCTATCTATCATAAATTTGCATACGTGGAAGAAGTTGGAGAAACCAACTTAAATGAAGACAAAGAAAATCACGAGGTCAGTTACGGGAGAAAAAAATACAATTTATTGGGGAATTTGTTACAAACGTCACGTTAAATAAAAAAACGCGAAAAGCTAAACTATTTGTCATGGAAAATACCACAAACTTACTTGGTACAAATTGGATAACAGAATTCCAATTATGGGATCTACCGATAAATTCCTTCTGTTACAAGGTAGGAAGCTTAAATACTGAAGCCCAAAAATTAATAAAGAAACTTAAGGCAACATTTGCTACTGTTTTTTCTCCAGGGTTGGGAACGTGTACCAAGATGGAGGCAAAATTCCAGCTAAAAGAAAATACTCAGGCAGTATTCAAAAAGAAAAGGAATGTGCCATTTGCCTCAATTGAACAGATAGATAAAGAATTGGACAGATTAGAGAAAACCTGTGTATGTAAAAAAGTTGAGTATAGTGAATGGGCAACACCGACGGTAAACGTGAAAAAAAGACCCAGAAAGTAAAGATGATGCTGACACCGAGAAAAACTGGGGAGCGAGTTACCCGCAACCAAGGACATGCAGTTTTATTAAATGATTTAAGTCAACTGAAGTCACCACAGAAAACGTTAAGAAGCACAAAATCAACAAAAGGGAAGCTAGAGGCTGAACAAATAGAACCACAAGAAGAACCTACAGAAACTGTGACTCCATCCTTAAGAAGCACAAAGCGGAAGGTTGTTTCTGGTAACACTAGGAAGGTATCTAAAATAGAAAAGAGGATTGGCAATATGAGGTACTTGGTGAAAGGTGAAAAATTCATGTGCAGACGACACATTAACTGGATCAGACAACTCTCTTCAGACGTGGTTGACGGTGGTCCCGTGGAAGAAACGCCAATAGAGGTGATTTTCAATACGTTTGATCTAACAACGCCTGCAACAATTTTACCTGAGGTACGCCAGTCCAGGAGAAAAAGAAACTGAACATTTAAAAGTGGATCCAAAACGTAGGAGATACGCTACGATGTTGCTAAAAAAATGAAGTTTTTTTTGTTTTGTTTTTTCTTCATATTTCCTGTAAAAAAATAAATAAATAAAACTGTTTTACTCCTACGGAGTAAAGTTTTAGGAGGCGGGTGTTATGGTGAAACACACCTATAGTTAATAGACTCTCCCACCTAATATAAGTAGGAGTAGTAAGAGAAACAAGGGTCAGTCAATGTCAGACAACAGTAGTCGACAGTCAAATACGAAAGTAGCCAGCGACCACAATAAGATTACTCTGCGTAATACATATATTAAGTTCCTAATGTTTTGTACGTCAAACCTATTTTAGGACCGATTTAGTACAAATACAAGCCTCCGCTGCAAAATAACTCCACAACACTAACGTTTTCTATTGACCTAAAGTAGAAAGATTATATTGAATCAATTGCCAGGTCAGCTGCTGGGAAAGTTGATTCCCTTTGTCGTGACAATGTTTCTTTCAAGAACCTATCTTACGCATTTATAAATCTATCTTCCATCAGCATGGTCAATGCCGATCCCCAGGAGACTGACTAATTGTGCCTACTCAGACTAACATTTTCCACTGACGGAAAGATTATATTGAATCAATTGCCAGGTCTGCTGCTAGGAAAGTTGGTTCCCTGTGTTGTGCTAGACAATTTTTCCTGCCAGAATCTATTTTACATATTTATAAGTCTACCATTCGTCCTTTCTTTGAATATTGCTGCTTCATCCAGCCTAGTGCTTCTGCTATGCATGTAGATATTCTTGATAAAAATCCTGACTTGGCATCTCTCTTTCAGTCACTTCCTGACCGCCATTATGTAGCTTCCATGTACCTTTTTCCATAAATACTTTCATGGTAATTGAACTTTCCTCTATGGTACCTAGACTATATGAATCTAAGGGCAGTACTAGATTGGCGGAAAGGTCTCCTCATTTTACAGTTGAAATGGCTATATGTAACAGTAAGTTCTATACCAACAGTTTCCTCTATCGCACTTCTTATGTGTTGAACTCTCAACTTTGATGTTCAAAATGTAAAGGCAATGTCAATCATTATCTACTGTCTTCTTAATTCCTGTTCTTTTATTGTTCACTCTCCTTAATAGTATTTTTTCTCATATTCTCTCACACTTATTACCCCTCCACCCGGTGTCTTTAGTAGCTTTATCATCTTGCTTAGGGTGAAATGATTTTAAAAAAAAATATACATATTTATGCTTGAAATGAGAAAGGAAAGAAAATAAAGACAGCTGCCCTCAAGCCTACTTTAGCCTTGTTTTACTATTTAAGATTTGGTTCCAGCTTATAATGTTTTCCATTTTCTTTCACTCCCAGTAGCCACTTGCGCCTTAGTGACATTATCACCTTGCTTGGGGTGAATTGATTAAAAAAAAAAAAAAGAGAAAATTAAATTACATTATTTTCAATACAGCTAAAATGGCTACTGGACCCATGAATGTATGATGTCACCTGAGAAAAAAATAATTTGGCAGTCACAAGAGAACAAAGAACATTCCTGTAAGATATCTCATCAGTCTCTCTTCCAAATGGTTAATATTTTCTTTGCTTTTTTTCTTTACAGACAATACAGTTCAGATGATCTTTAAATTCATCAATCACAGGAAACCAAATAAACTTTATATGTTCTTCATCAAAGTTGAAGACAATGGACAATACTGCAGTAAGCATTTTAATGTTTCTTTTTTTTTTTCTAGTTATTACATTTGAAAATTTTTCAACCCTTCATGTGCTTAAGAGCGCCATAATACTCCTGCTTGTTTTAAACTACTAACAAAGGAATTCTTTTGATATCAAATAGTTTAGTTTTTAAAAATAGACGACAATTACAAAATCCAGATTATCATATCTGATTTTATCATACAGATTGTGATTTTTTTTTCTCATTGCGTACAGATAATGTATGTCTCAATTTCCCACCTACTATTGAAATATTTAGCTAGCTATATATATATATATATATATATATATATATATATATATATATATATATATACACTTTAATTTTTTATTATTATATATTTGTGGATACACCTGTTTAAATAGATGCCCCTGAAAACACCCTTAAGCAGAAAAATTAATGTTTCCTATCAAGAGATTGAAAAACTTGATAAAGAAAATGTGCACATTTCCTTTAAAACGTTCAATATCTAGGCTGGTAGACATTTTTCCAGTTGAAAAAACAAGGTTTTTCTTTATATATGTATATGTATATTTACTAAATTTTGTTCCCACATTCCTTGACAGTTGGCTGTTTTATTATGTGTTTTTTATTATGTGTGTTTAAAAAAAAATTTCAAATTGACAAAGAATTCTCTTTTTTGAATTTTAATGAATTCTCTTTGTTTGTCAGTTTCCCAATCTGATCCAAATAATTTCCTGTTGAGTTGCATGTTTACAAAACTCTGTTTTGCAAATTCTTTTAACTTTTCCCAAATACACCGTCTGGCCGTTAATGACCATCAAATACCAAAAATGATCTTTCACAATAATTTACTTTTGAAATTTGTTTCAAATGGCAAGAATTTTTCCTCATTCCTCAGGACATTTTTCAGTCTATTTTACATTCCAGCTTTGAGAATTCATAACAAATCTTATTTTTCAGTTTATATTTTCAACATGGACTTAATATTTCATCTGGCATTTCTGTTTATCAGAAAGGGGATAAAAAAAAGATTTTTTTTTTTTTTTGCTTCATATTTCAATTCATGTTTTCACTTCTTCCAATTCCCATACAGTGTTTTTACATGAACCCTTTTAACCGTAATTTCATACTACCAATGTCACAATAGTGTCACATTACTTTCAGCTACCACCAGTGACACTTTATAATGTCACATTACTACTGCCAAGACAGCTAACGTAAATTGCAAGTGAAGTTAAGATTAAACAAATATTAGTAAAAACTAATAATGCTTGACAATGCTTCAAATTCAAGATAAATATAAAAAAGTCTCTTGTTAAATTTTCATCAAAACTTTGCTGGTTTCAAGTAAACTAAAAAGTAATTTAAATAACCAGGTTTTGATGTTGGTTGATGAAAATAATGCTTAACTTTTTCTGCAAGAATTAGTATCAATTGACCGATCCCCTTAATTATAAACCCAAATCTGAAAGAAATTCATTGATATCTCTAATTGCACAGTCATTATTTTGCTACAAATTAACTTTTAAATATAGACAGATTTGCTTGTGAGCCTTCCACAGAAGAAATATATTGTTTTCTGGTGATTATATCTTGTTTTTTTTTTTTTTTTTTTGTACCCCCCCCCCCCCCAATATATTCTTACCCTGTAACCCCACCAAAGATATGTTGTTATTGTGTGACCACACACCATATATGTTATCGTGTAACCCTGCTCCAGATATGTTGTCATCATATGACCCCCTCTTGAAATATAATGTCTTTCTGCGACCCCACTTCAAATATATTTATATGCTCTACTTTTTCAGTTCCTGGCTGCAATCCAAGTGTCCCCAACCTTGATGAACTAGTAAAAGAGCTGAATACCTCAAACTGCTTAAGCAACTTCATTCTTGCCATACGAAAAGCATTTAAAGACTTATGCTTGCAATGAAGAAACAAATCATTTGTTTGGATTTTCTGGAAACTAAATAAGAGATGGCTGTTTGGATTATAAAGGGAAAGATCTTGAAGAACATTTTTTTTACATCTGTTATATATCCACTGTCTCTTGTTAGTTTGTGTAAATATTTTATCTATTTTAATATGTTAATGGAAATATTGGTATTTAACTATATTCTCATGTTTTCTTTGCTTCTCTTTCCTCTCTCTTTCCTTCATTGTATTTTCCTCTCTCTCTCTCTTCATGCTTTCTCTATCCATTGTCTTTTCCTCTTTCTGTGTCTTTCATTCTTTCTCTACCCATTTTCTTTTTCTCTCTCTCTCTCTATCCTTCATTCTTTCTTTATCCATTTTTTTTTCCTCTCTCTCATTCTTTCTTTATCCATTGTCTTTTCCTCTCTTTCTTTCATTCTTTCTCTCATTCTTTCTTTCACCATTGTCTTTTCCTCTCCCTCACTCTTTCCTTAATTCTTTTTTTACCCATTGTCTTTTCCTCTCTCTCTCTTTCCTTCATTCTTTCTTCCTCCAGTGTCTTTTCCTCTCTCTCTCTTTCCTTCATTCTTTCTTCATCCAGTGTCTTTTCCTCTCTCTCTCTTTCCTTCATTCTTTCTTCATCCAGTGTCTTTTCCTCTCTCTCTTTCCTTCATTCTTTCTTCATCCAGTGTCTTTTCCTCTCTCTCTCTCACTCTTTCGTTCATTCTTTCTTCATCCAGTGTCTTTTCCTCTCTCTCTCTCCTTCATTCTTTCTTTATCGTCTTTTCCTCTCACTCTCTCCTTCATTCTTTCTTTATCCATTGCCTTTCCCTCTCTCTCTCTCTTTCTTTCATTCTTTCTTTATCCATTGTCTTTTCCTCACTCTCTCCTTCATTCTTTCTTTATCCATTGTCTTCCCCCTCTCTCTCCCCTTCATTCTTTCTTTATCCATTGTTTTCCCCCCTCTCTCTCCCCTTCATTCTTTCTTTATCTATTGCCTTTCCCTCTCTCTCTCTTTCTTTCATTCTTTCTCTATTGCCTTTCTTCCATATCATTCTATTTTATCTTTTCAGTCTTTTGCTCTTTTATGCTTTCTTACTGTTTAATACTTTTTCTCTTCTCACTTTTATTTTTTTTCCTCTTTCTTTCCCAATATATATTTTAATTCCAATCACATATTCCTCTTGTCCTCTCTCACATTATCCATCATCTCTAAGTCTCCATCTTTAAGAGGATTTTTTTTCAAATATTTCCTTTCATAAATATTAAAATGAATCAATTGAAATAATCTCCATTAATCAGCTTACACCTTTTAAAATGCATGCTTTGAATATCTTAAAAGTTTGGTGTTGAAAAGCTTTCAATATTTATAAGGGATTCTCATTTTCCTTATGCTAAGTACATCATGCAAATGTCTAGTCACTCAATACAGAATTGGGGTATTTTTTATAATCCAGTTCTTAGTCATGCAAGCCATTGATAGTGAAAATTCTGTTTCAATTTACTAAAAATATATAAGAAAATCATAATGTGTTTAATAGAATTACTTTATGAAGATAATGAAAATACAAGTAAATTATAAGGGGTGGGGGTGCTGAAAAATTTTCTTCTTCCTCAAATCTGATCAAGTCTTAGATTTTTGGGGGGATGGGTTTCTTGGTTGAGCTGATAACTTTTTATATAGCATCTCTTCTATTAAATTTTAAGCAAATTCATTGAGATGATTCTGTGTAAATGAGAGAGGAAAAGGATTTCTTTGTTGGAATGTAATGATTTCATCAAGTGTCTTGACAGTAAAACAATTTGAAACTTGATCTTTTGTTTAACTTGAAATTCACACTTGCCCAAACCATGGCCTCCTCCTGTGGAAGGTGAAATAGCCAGTTTAGTAATCAGTAATAAACTGATATTTTAACAACTTGAATAGAAAATGTGGCTTTCAAAAATGTTATATATAATGCACTTAAACACTATTAGTTTTCTTATAATTCTATAAACAAATAAATAAAGAAATTTCTCCTGTACTTGAATTGTCTCTTCTTTTTTGATGTCTCCTTTTCAGTGGATATATATACAATTACATATTTTTCTGTTTATTTAAATAGAAGTATCAAAAATCTGAGCAGTACCCTGGATGATTTTGCACTCCCATCCCATTAATAAAATTGGACTCAGCTAGATGACTTTTGTGTAGCATAATAGATAAAGAGGTAGTGTAACTGTGGTAGATATAGGGCACAGTTTGGGAGCCAGAAAGATGGGGAATTCTCTTCAAGGTGGCAACTGTCAGACATGAGTGAAGAAGAAATTAAAAAAGTTTTTCTGTTCACTAGACAGGGCTCAATGCAACTCACAAAAAATTATAATCACCATGAGAGACCTGAATGCCAAAGTAGGCAAAAAGAGAGATGGTGAAATAGTTGGCAAATTTGGACTAGGAACTTGTAATGAATGCTGAGAAAAATGGGTCTAATGGTCCATGGTGATCAGCCAACATCTACTTTCAAAAACACCCAAGACATGTGGACATGGAGAAGCTCAGAAGGAGAAACGAAAATCCAAATTGACTATAAGAGATTCAGGAATGCAATTTTCCATTGCAAAATATGCCATGTGCCAATTAGAATTATTTTTTAAAAAATGGTAAGATGAAAATATTTCTTTTAACTGATAGCGTTACCATTCTTGACAATGACCACTGATAGTTGAAAATAATCAAAAAAAAAACTTTTGGATAAATGCTGGATATATGGCTACTCATAAATTGACTGATAAAATGTAATTTTAAAAAATAGTCAAGTACACAGGCCTTGTCTATTGAATTTAATAAAGCATATTTTTTTCACTTCCAAGCAAAACAAGTCACTAAGATAAAGGGGTTTACTGAGTGTTAGAAAAAAAAAAAAAAAAACTTAACGAGAGAGAACAATTAAGACAGAGGATAATGATTGATGTTGCATTTTAATTTTTGAAGATCAAACTTGACTTGGAAGCAAGAACCTGGAAGAGAGTTCCACAAGCGAGAAGTGTGAGAGAAGAAACTTAGCATAGAACTTATGGTTACATCTAGCCAACTAGTAACTTTTCAATTGTAAAATAACGAAACTTTGCCACCAATTTTGTACTATGACTAAATTCATGAAGTCTAGCTACCATAAAGGAAAGTTCATCAGAACAATTACTATGAAAAAAGTATTTACAGAAAAGTCACAGGGAAGCTACATTGCAATAGTGGGAAAGTAACTGAAGCTGAGATGCCAGGTCATGACCAATGACATTACAGATTCTTCTTAGAAGGTTATCAAGAATCAGATGTAGCAGCAATATTCAAAGCCAGGAAAAATTGCAGACTTATAAATATTTAAGATCTTAGAGAGAAAAATTGTTTAGGGTGACAGAGTAACCCACTTGCCTCACTGCAAACCTAGCAACTGATTCAATATAATCTTTTTACATTGTTTCAGCAGAAAACAGTCTTAGAAGGCGCAATAAGTCATTCCAGAGGTAAGCAACAACCATTCTTATGGAAGGTAAAAAGGATTTCTCTCAAACGATTACATCTCATAGGATTTATTTTCATACATATATATGCTTATCATATCTGTCTATATTTCTGAGGTGAGGTATTATGTACACTAATTACATTATTCGGACTATTGTCCTCATCTTTGTCGCTATATTTATTACAATGTTTCGGCCGTTGTATGCTCCAGCCTTCTTCAGGTGGTTGGAATGTCGAACTGAACCCTTTATTTCGCTCACTGGGGTAGACTGTTCTAGTTCCACGTGCCATGTTTAATGGATGTCAGTTATCTCCTGTTAATTCCCCCACCCCCAAAAAATTGCAATATGAGCACTGGTAAAAAATGATTGCTGATAACATTAGGTTTATAATACCCAGAAATTCATATGCAGATGTCCTCAAGGACACATGGTACAGTGGATAAAGGTGTTAGTTAGATCCAGTGACAGGACCCAAAGAGTGTGAGTTTAATATCCGGTAAAGACCGTCAGGAACTTGGAGAGGGGAATTAACTGGAGATAACTGACAACTGATATCCATTAAACATGGCATGTGGAACTAGAACAGTCTACCCCAGTGAGTGAAATAAAGCGTTCAGTTCGACATTCCAACCACTTGATGGAGGCCGGAGCGGTTCAACGGCCGAAATGTAATAAATATGGCGACAAAGATTAGGACAATAGCCCGAATAATGTACATAATACTCCATCTCAGAAATATAGACAGATACTGAAGAAGGCCGGAGCATACAAGGGCCAAAACATTGAAATAAATATGGCAACAAAGATTAAGACAATAGTTCAAATAATGTACATAATACCTCATCTTGTAAATATAGACAGATACTGAAGAAGGCTGGGGCCTACAAGGACCGAAATGTTGTAATAAATTTGGCAACAAAAATGAGGGCAATAATTTGAATAATGTAAATAATGCTTATCATAATTTCCAAATTTAAACTGGAGCAAATTTTCAATTTTTATTATTGGTTTGGGTTCTCATTTAAAACGCTTCAAAATAAAATCTCCATTAAATTTGACATCACTTAACAGATCGCGACATCCTGTCAGAGAATTTTTACAGATCAGCAGGTGGCTATTAACCCTTTGAGCCCTGACCACCACTTTACCAGTGGTAGAGAAAAATAAGGTAATGCCCAGCCACTGGTTGAATGGTGGGTAAACACTTGTAACTATTTTTATATCTACCATGAAGCAGTACATACCAGTTATTTGCAAATTTTGACTCAAGAGTTCAGGAAGAAGGGTTAAAATTGTTCAGGAACGCAGGGCACAAACGGTTAATATCAACAACTGACCACAAATAGTTATTAATTAAAAAAAATAGTAATTAATGTATAATAGTATCCATAACTATATGTACAAAATGTTATTTTTGATAAAAAGGAAAAAATAACCATAAATACGTAAAAAAAATTAGTATAATGTCGAAAATTCCTTTTTTCGCAATATAGCTATTTGTGCTATTTTATAATG